AACTGCGAGGCGCCCGTGTTCATACCTGGCCGCAGGCGTCGGAGTCGACGCCCTGGTGTGCAGAAGGGAGCGACGTGCCATTGCGGGACAACGATCTACACAGTGGCTGTCAACGACCAGGTGTGGCAGGTGACCGCAGCGGAGCCCGACGTCCTCAGCTACAGCGCTGGGAACAAGGAGCCCGAGAAGTCAGAGCCCGATATGTACCTAGCTAGTCCCAACACTACGAACTGCGCGTGCGAGAAGTGGAAGGCCAGACACCATAAACTACCGCGCCGAGCTCAGGGCAAGCGAGAAGGGAAAGACGAAGGACGAGCCCAACGCCATTAGCTACAGTGCGACGACGACGCGCTGCGACGAACTGAGGCGAAGGACGAGCCCGACGTCATCAGCTACAGACGAGCCCGACGTCCTCTGCCCCTGTGCGACGACGACGAGCCCCGACGAGCTTAGGCGAAGGACGAGTCCGATGCCATCAGCTACAGACCAGACGAGTGCGCCTGTGGAGAAGATGGAGCCCTACGTTAAGGCCGACGCGACCCGCGAGACGGACGGAGCCTGCGGGAGGAGAGAGGTGAAGCTGGAGCCTAGTATGTCCATGCCTCCTCCTCCGAAGATAGAAGCTTGCGAGAAGAGGAAGGAGAAGTTGGAGCCACCTATCGTCCCTAGCTCTAGCGACTCCTCCTACCACCTCGTCGCCACGGCTGGATCCGCGAGCACGAGCTGGGCCATGTGGAGGGCCAGAGCCGCGATCGCGGACAAGTGGCTGGTGGGGGGCGAAGCGTTGGAGCCAAAGCGGAAGGGGACGTCTAAATCTAAGCCCGCCGCCATCATCAGCTACAGCGCAGGGAGCGAGGCCAGCCAGAAACGGCGGCTGGAACCGAAGTTTGGTAAGAAAAGTGCGAGAAGCAGAATGTGAGAAGTGAGACGCGGTACCGACGCGTGGGCAGGTCGCTGGAGTGTGGACGCCCGCCCGAGGAACTGCAGAGGGGAAGCTCGGGCGACGAGGCGCGGTGGAAGACCACTCACCACGTGAGCATGGAAATCTGTGGAAAATCTCTTCCTCCTCCTCCTCCTCCTCCTTCTCCTCCTCCTCCTCCTCCTCCTCCTCCTCCTCCTCCTTCTCCTCCTCCTCCTCCTCCTCCTCCTCCTCCTCCTCCTCCTCCTCCCCCTCCCCCTCCCATCAACCTGATCTTGTTTCTGCTCCAGTTCCTGCCCCTGGTTTTCCTCCCCTATCCACGTGCACTTCATCTCCGACTCGGCACCCCATAGGCCAACCGGCGTGAAGGTGGGCGCCGTGCGGCGCGCCCGAATCGAGCCGCTCCCGGAGGGCTCGCAGCCTCCGATAAGCCCCTCCCCCAGGCAGGGGTCGGGCCCGACTTCCTCAACCCCAACCGAAGACCCGAATTTCGGGCTGGGGGGGTCACAGGCCCCATATTTCTTTTTCAATGTTCCCCGACTTCCCCCCACTGGAAGTGGAGGGCAACTCGGGGCTTCGGGTTGGGTTGGGGGGTGGCTTGGCGGGCGGTGAACTCGTGACACCGCGCGCGGCCCGAGCGAGCGACGACAAGCAACGGGTCGTACGTGAGATGACACAGCGACCTTACGCCGCAGCTTACGCGGGCCGCCAGCGCGGCACGCTGCCCTGGACAATGAGGGCGCCCACGCGCGACCTGACGCGGGCAGCCTACCCGCCAGCGCTGGCACGGTCGAACCCGCTGCTCCGCATCGTTCGAGTCTTGGGTGTCCCAAGACCGTGTGGTGACAGACCCGGCGGTGACCTCGAAATCCGCAAAGACCTCACCGCACGGGTCCGTCACCACACGGTTCTGGGGACCCTGGAGGCTCCAGTCGCCCGAGACGTCCTCGGAGAACGAATCAAGTCCCAAAACCGTGCGGTGACCCCGAATCCCCACCGACTCACCAAACGGTGTGGTCACCACCCCGTTTGGGAGCCCCCGAGAGTGGTGGCGCCAGCCCGGCCGACCCGTTCCCGGAAAGCTAGCGCCCTACATTGAGAGGAGGGCAACATCGGTCAGCATCCAGTCGGGAGACCGGGTCGAGTGGGAGCGAGGGGCACGCATCAGGCCACATGGACACGGAGTGGGAAGCGAATCGGATCGGCTGCGCCAAGAGGGCGGTCATGTGTATGTTCGCGACAACTACCTCTACCGACCACGAACCCCCTCTCTTCCTCCCCCCCCCAAAAAAACATCACGATTCGTGTTGAACTCTGCACTGTTTTTGGTTATCCCAAGACATTCCGACACAAAGCCAGCGTGAAACGTGACGTTACTGGCCCGCTCCCCCGTCACCCCCGGTAGCGCCCGCTATGGGAACCGCGAGTATAAATCCTTAAAATATACGGGCCCTGTCCCATGGGGCTTCGCAGAAACGCCACCAAAAAATCAAGTGTATGATTTTCCGGCCAGTTCTCTGGACGACATGTGTAGGAATGCTGCATTGTGTTTGGGCCGCGATTTGCCACTAGATGGTGGAC